GCACCACAGACGGGCTCGTGTGCTCCCGGCTTGGGTTCCTGGTGGTCTCTCAGGACAGCAGTTTAGGTCCATAGTCAAGTGTAATGTAAATGTCCACATGGGAGGCCCCGCTGGGTTAGACCTTGTTGACATGGACCCCAAAGAGGCAGAGTTGGTAGGCCCTGGGTGGAGCTGAAAGTGTCCATACTATTTCCCCTGCCACTTGCACACACACGCACATGCACACACACGCACACCACAGACAACACGCGAGCCCGGGAGGGGCCGAGGGCACACGGAGCCCTCCTCCCTTTGCATCGGATTTGCCCCGAGACACACGGCCTGGTGACGGACAGACAGCGTGGGGTCTGTTACCACGGCCCCCACTAAACAACAGTGCACCTGCTCCTGGCGTCATCCCTTCCTGCGGCCCACCTGACTCATGCACACCAGCGCAATTTCCTGCCTCAGCGAGCAGAATGTACCGGATAAAACCACCTCTCATGACTCAAGACCTCCCAGGGTCTCCGTGTCTGAAAACACCCGTTTTCCACCTTGCACGGGATAGATCAGCAGCTCCAACCGGAGCCTGCAGGGGCCCGGCGGTCGCGCCAATGTCAGAGCGCGAAGGCCGGGATCCCTGAAACACACGCGGCCGGCATATTCCAAGCGCAGGATCCGTCTGCGGGTTCACGGACCAGTGGGCTCTGTCCTGTTTTTCCCAGAAACATTCGCCTTTCCAGTTCCATTTGTGAGTTCAAGAACTACTTCACCCGTCTTTTCAACGGGTGATGGGAAATAGGATTTCAATTCAGTTGATGATTAAGCCCAGCCTGTGGTGCCCACACTGTTCCGTCACCACAATAACAACAGCCTGTATTTACCCAGCACTTCCTATGTGTCAGGCACCGTGTTAAGCCCTTGACATGCAATGTTTCCTTTAATCCTCCTAACAGCCCTACGAACTCGGCACTGAGGCTGTGCCCGTTTTCCAGGTAGACAGAGATGCAGAAACCTGGACCGCTCGGCTGAATCACACGGCCCGTCGATGGCGGCACAGAATCCGCAAGCAGGCTGGTGCGAGTGCAGACTGGCGAGTCTTTACCACCATAAAGGGGAAGAGCCCGGTCCCCCAGGCAGAGCTGGGCAGCGGACACGGGGAGGCCAAGTCAAATCACAACCGCTCAGAGTGGCCACGCTGCGCAGGCTCTGCCCTTGGCCATCCCCCAAGTGTTCCGAGCCTCTCAGAAGCTTCTGCTTGGGCGCTCCCTCCCACTGGAGAGCCTCCTAAGTTTTCTCACCTTCCTGGATGGAGGGAGTCGTGGTTTGGAAGCTACAGATGGAGCGGCAGATGGGCAGTAAAAACCTATCAGAGATGCCCAGGGTAAAACCATTCATCTGCAAAATTCATATGTTTTTGTGTAGGGCGACCGCACGAAAACAACAGCAAGAGGAACCAGCAGTGCTTGATGCGTGAAGTGCCTCCGGCCTCAGGCTGCGGAGCGCAGTGGGCAGAGGCACCGGGGGGCGGGGGGCAGGGAGGAGGCACGGGAATGAGAGCAGAGAAAGACAGACCGACAGGAACGCAGAGCCCAGGAGCGTAAAGCTGAAAGAGCTAGAAATGGGATGATTCTCTTCTCTGAAGCCACAAAAGGGGGGGGGGGCACATGGTCTGAGGAAGGCGTTCTGGGCCCCTCAGACAGGAGGCTCAGCCTTACACACAACAGAATTAACCGCTGACGCTGAACACTCTGCTGGGGTGCGTTGCTACCAGCTGATTTCGCAATTACTGAGTTTACTCGATGGAGGTTCTAGTTCTGCGAGTGAAGTGGCAGAACTTGCACTCAGCCCTTAGCCAGGGCACTCATCCTCGTGGGTGCTGAAATGCTAGACATTCTGCTATCCCTGAAGGGCGGACTTGGTTCAAGTGGTCCCGGTTCAGTGTGCGAATCAACACAGGACTCCTAGGGGACGTCCTCAAGACCTGACCTGGGTTTCCTGGGAAAGACCACAGGCCTGGGCACACCCACCTCACCTCAGGGGCCTCTGGCAGAGTTCCTCAACCTCCCTGAGGCTGAACTGACCTCTGGGGTCTCCAGGGGAGGCCTGGAAGCAAGCTGTGAGAATCCTGATCCCAGCTAGTCAGACTTGGAGATAAGAGGTGACCTTTGCTCATTGGATTTCCTGCCGGCAGGGGGCGCAATCCCTACTCTGCCCAGCCAGGAGTCTGAGGAGTGGCTCTCTGGGCAGCCCGGCCACCCCACCACTCTGGGCCAGATGCCGTCGCCAGGGGCCAACCTCAAGCAGAGAGAATGCCAACCTTAGAACCAGACAGGACTGGTTCTAATCCCTACCACAACTTCTCTGTATCCCCTTGGGCCTCCGTGTGCCCTTCAATCAAACAGACTTGCTTTTCGGGTTGAAGGAAGCACCTCCCACATTCCCTGCTGCACTCAGCATGGTAGGGCCCCTCTGCACTCAGCCCTTCCTTGGAAGAGGAAGGAGAATGTTCTACCTCACCGTGCCCTGTCCTCTGATCGTCCCTCCTCATTCTCTTCCTGCACTCTGTCCGGTTTAAATTTCTCAGATGCAACCAGGCCATCTTTGACCCAAGTCTTGTCCAGAATGTTCTTTCTCTCGGGAACTGGAGGGGTCTCAGTTGGAGGCGATTTTACCCCTGGGGGAAACAGCAACTGGAGATATGTGTGGTTGTCGCAGCCTCTGGGGGTGGGGATGCTACCAGCATCTGGTGGGTAGAGGCCAGGGATGCTGCTCAACATCCCCGGGCCCGGGACAGCCCTCCCAGCATGGAACGACCAGCCACATGTCACTGCTGCTCAGGCTGGGTGGTCCTCTCATCCACTTGCCAGGCTATTCTCAGCCTCAGGTCCCAACACAAAGCTACACATCCAGAGGCCTTCCTGACGCCCCGATGATGTACCTCTTCCCCTCAGACAGTCTTTCTTTATAGCCTTTCACTCCTTGACGATGCCTCTCTTCCTCAATTACTTAGGTCTATCTTTCTTTCTCAACGAGGGTGCCACCAGGTAGGGGCTGCGTGTCTTTTGTTCACTGAATGCCCAAATAGTGCCCAGCACATTGGTTGCGGAACACATGAATGTTTGAGTGAATGAATAACTAAATGAGTAAAAATCTGCCAGTGATGTTTCCAAACCACCCCCTTTGTGAACCTCTGCTATCTCCTACAAATCAAAAAAACAGGTATCTTTCTAACGCCCACCATTGCGCTCAGGTTCGGGGGTGCTAGGTGTATTCTGCCTACACTGAGCAACGATTGTGCCTCCCCCAGATCTCCGCCAGAGTCCAGGGTCTCCTGGCGGACGATGCGATGCCACCAAGCCCAGGAGTGAAGGAGACAGAAGCCGTTTCTAACTTTCAACAGAGGCCTTCCCTCCGTGCCTGTGCCTGATCTAGATCCTGACTCAAAACCCCCACTCCCGGGAACAGGTGGCCTCGGTGTGTGATGACATGAGGAGTGACTGGTAATACGTTAGATGTGATGATCATATCAGTGTTCTGTTCAGAGAGAGACGTGTACTGAACTGTGCACAGGTACAACTTGATGATGTCTTGGAAAAGCTTCGCTGGGGTTGGTGCAAGGGGCAAGAGCACAGGTATGACCAGACTGTCACGAACTGATGATCACCGAAACCGGGGGATGTATGACAGGGGTCCGTTGCCTTAGTCTCGGGACACTTGCGAATGTTTGAAAACTGCCCTGATGAAAGTGTGTGTGTGTTTTAGAGCTTCCTTCACTTGGCTTTTCAGGGAATGCTGTTCCCAAGGCCCTCCTGCCATCAGAGGAAGGCGGGCCCTCTCCTTCCCACACGTCGTCCCCCTCCCCGTCCACTCACTTGTGCTTCTCAGCCTTCTCGATAAATCAGGATGGAAGACACAGTCGAGCCGAGAACTGTCACCTTGGTAGGAAATACGGTCCTTTTCTTGCCTTTTTTCTTTTACAAGCGCGCTGGGGGTTTCTTTGCTTGTGGTGTATTTTATGGAGCGGATCAAAGTCGCGCAAAGGGACCTTGTGGCGTCTCCACCACCTTGGGGCTGCGGGCTTCCCTCCCTGCCCCACCCAACCGCGGCCAAGCAGGCTGCAGGCCCAGACTGGGCAGACCTTCGAGAGAAGCTCAAAATCTGAGGTTTCATGGGAAATCTCCCAATTTAAAAGTGTAGGCAATCATTCATTTGTGAAAATCTGGTAAGAGCCAAAAAATAAAAAATAAACCCCAAACGCTCACGGTCCCCCCATGGCCCACAGACACCTACCAGTCTGTGGCTGTTCCCGACTGTCGCAACCGACCTCCCTTCCCCCACTCTGCCTCAGTTCAACCCGAAGTCAAAACGTGTCCTCCTCCGCTCAGAGCAGCCAGTGGTTGCCATCTCGCTCGGGTGACAGCCCAGTTCTCGGACCTCTGAGATCTCACCTCATTTCCTGTCTGATCTCCTGTCTCTTCCTGCCCTGTGCCTCACCTCCTCTGCTACAGCCACTCCGAGCCCCCGTGGTCCCTCCTCAAGGCTCGGCACCTGCCGTTCCCTCCTCCTGGACCATGTTCCCTGCCTGGGCGACTCCCTGCTCCTCCCTCTTCCATTCTTCTCAGTAAGGACGGTCCGGTCATGCCGGGCAAAATGACAACCCCCCCTTGCGTCTTCTCTCTGCTTCGTTTTACCCATTTGACTAGTTTGTTATTTGTCCTCCCGACTTGGATGAGAGCTCTGTGTGGGGATGGGTGATGGTCCCTTTAGTGTTTCCTTGAACAGAGCAGGACTGGACTCAAGAAATATCTGTTGAACGAGTGAATGAATGAACGAGTGCGCACACAATGCCCAGGTCCAACGTGGCTCCTATGTTGAGACCTACGACGTCAGTGCAGATGCTGCCCAGGCCTTCACTGAGGACAGGAGGCAAACCGCCACCTCCTGATCCTGCTAAGACCACGAAGGGTGACAGGGCGAGGGACCTCGGCGCAGGCTGGCGGGGTCCACAGCCACCTTACCTGATGGGGTAGTCGGCTGCACTGAGGTTGATGAAGAAGTCCCAGGGCCAGTCGGTCATCTCCAGGAGGTCCCGCATGCTCTGCAGGTATGTGGACAGGAGGCTGGCGCCCCCCCAGATGGTGGCCATCCTCCAGGGGGTGACGCGGACATTGCTGTACTGCTTGGCAAACTGGAGCACTTGGCGATGCAGGTAATTGGAGCGCTTTTTCCAGGAGAGAAAGGGGTGACATTCAGCAGCCCAGAAAATACTCAGACATGCCCCTTGTCCCCTCTCTGTCCCTTCCCTTCCAGGTGGCAGGGTTTCTGAACTTTGCCCAGTAACTGGTTCAGGCCGGAGGCATCTTTCTGCATCACTATTCGAACATGTATTGTTTTAAAAATTTTACTTTAGCTATTTAAAATGCAGATTCCCTGGCCCTGCCTCTCTATTGATTCACTAGGAGCCTGGGACTCTGCATTTTATACAGACTGATGCCTGTGGTCTGAGGACAGCAAGCTGTGAAACACGGGGGTATGGAAAGCCGAGGAGTATTTTGAGGGGCGGAGCATCTCCGCTCCCCTCAGAGGCCTGCCAGAAGCAAACCCGGGTCAGGCGTCCCTTTGCCTCTCGAGTAAGGACATAATCATGTCACGTCAGCAGACTAACACAAGCCCCTGGGACGAGACAGCTCGGGGTCAGCAAGCCTGCTGCAGGTTTGTGTAAATACACTTGTCCTGGGACACAGCCACACACTTCCATTCATGTATTGTTCATGGCTGTTTTCACACGACAGGGGCAGAGCTGGGTAGCTGCGACACAGAGGGTATGTATATGGCCTTCAAGCCTAAAATATTTACTATCTGGCCCTTTACAGAAAAAGTGTGCCCACTCCTGGGATAGCTGTCCTCCCAAAGTGGTGGGCAGTGCGCTGGGCAGGGAGCAGTAAGGAAAAGAGGTAAGAAAACCAGTATTTATGGAAAACATCACACACACACACACACACATACACACACACACACACACTCCCCCCAAACCCCCAGGTAGCTGTGCAGCCTACTAGCCTTCCCTAAAAGGGGGGCTGGCCTAAAGAGGGGCAGGTGGACCCACAGACAAAGGCCGCAGGGGGCGACAGAAGGGGGCTCACCTTGTCCACGTGGATGTAGTAGAAGTGGTCTTTGTGGTAGATGGCTTTGAACATGCGCTGCAGCTGCCGGGAGGCACGGCCGTGGACCACCAGGACGAAAGCGATTCGGACCGGGTTGGCCAGCATGTACTCCACCGAATCCTCGTCCCACTGGACGTTCTTGTTGGCTTTGCCTGCGGAAAACCCGAAAGACCACACGGGGGTGGTGAGGGTCAGCAGTTCCTTTTGGGGGCAGGTTCTCTGATGCTTCATCTTGGGAACCGTTGGAGGGGCACGGCCGTCATATTGGGCCCTGAACCTGGATTCAACGTAACCAAGCGGACCCTTGTGCCGTCCTGGTGCACCAGGAGCGGCGGACCTTGCGTGCTTACGTCATGGTTCCCATCCCCAAGGAGCTTTCAAAGCTGATGGAGACACAGGTACACATATTAAACTATGGAACAAGAGGAGTTGAGAGGTATGGCAAAGGAGGGAGCTGTGCATTCCAGGAAAAAGTAAGACACCTGTGCTGCTTCTGCCTGTCTAGGGCTATTTCCGTTTCCTCCTAACAGCATCCATTTTTTATTTTATTTTTTAATATGTTTGCATTGATTTTTTTAGAGAGAGAGAGACAGAAACATTGATGTGAGAGAGAAACATCGACCAGCTGTGGGATCGATCCCACAACCTGGGCAGGTCCCCTGACCGGGAATCGAACCAGAACCTCTCTGTCATGGGATGACGCTCAACCCACAGAGCCACACCAGCCAGGCAGCATCCATTTTTTAAATAGTTGTGGTAAGAACAGATAACATGAGCACTATCCTCTTAACAAAAACTTATGAGTACCATACAGTATTGCTGAATGTAAGCACAAGGCTGTACAGAAGACCTTTAGAACTTAACTCCTCTTTCGTAACAAAACATTTACCAATCAGTATTTTGGGAGGCACCATCCCCTCCTGCAGCTCATTCCAAGTGGATGGGGAGGCTCTCCCTTCGTCATCAAGTTCAGGGACTGTTCACAGAGCTCTGGCCTGGCCACTCAGAACACTGCATCTCCCCGGCCACAGTTTGTGTGGGTCAGAGGTGAGCACGTGACCCAATCACGCTGATTAGCCAAGAACACCGAATTCTAGACTTCTGTTGACACAACTAGGTACGAGATGTTCTTTTTCTGGTATATAAGAAACTGGGAGACTCTAAGAGCCCTTTTGCCCCCACATGGAGAGAGGCTGCCCGAGAGGAAAGCCAACCCAGAGGCAGTACTGCTGAGTGACAGAGGGTCTAGATCCCAATGACCCTGCCTGAGCTCCTAGATCAGCCTGGCTGGAGATCAGCCACTGTCAGTCATATCCTCGTTTTCTTTGAAAGCCTAGGTCCTGCAGAAAGATCCACCTGGATAAATGGTTTCAGATGTCTTATCTCAGAAGCAGCTCACAGAGGCTGTTTTTCTTCTTCTCTCCCTTGCAAATGCACCGGGGGCAAGGTTTCAAGGAGGAACACAGCCATCGGTTTGGTTCATGACCTTCCGGCTAGAGATCTCCAGCTTTCTTCAGCCTGATTTCCTTTCAGTCCAACTTGATTTCTTGTGGGTTCTAGGTTTATGGGCCCAGAACACTGCCAGGCACTGGCTGCACCTGTCCCAGAATGTCAACTGGAGAAGCTGAGAAATTGGGACTGTGTAACCTTGGAGGTCAGGAGATGGCGAGCGTGACCTCTGTCACTGGAAAGCTGAATGGCTGCCAAATGAACAAGGAACCGTCTATGTTGTTCCAGAGGACAGGATGAGATTACAGCGTCCACAGCCTACACGATCTGCTTCCTGCAGACCTCTCTGCCCTGAGGCCTCTCCCCAGGCCTTCTTTCTTTACCTTGAGTGAGCTTCTTTCTGCCTGAGGACCTCTTGCTACCTGGAACTCTTCACCTAGATCTTTGCATGGCTGCATCTTCCTGTTGGTAGTTCATAGCTCCGTAAAAGGCCACAATGCCCCCTGCAGCCACCTCACTCTCTTTCACCCCACCCTATTTCAATTTTCTTATTTTTATCCTCAACCGAGGACATTTTTTTGTTTTTTTGTTCAGCTAGAGAGGGAGGGAGAGAGAGGAAGAGAGAGAGAGAGAAACATCGACATGAAAGGGACACATCGAGTGGTCGCCACCTGCATGACCCCACCAGGGCCGGGGACAAACTGCAACCGAGGTACATGCCCTTAGCGGGAACCGAACCCAGGTCTTTCTGGACCGCAGGCCGACGCTCTAACCGCCGAGCCAAACCGGCCAGGGCTCAATTTTCTACATAGCACTGTATACTGTCTGAAATTGTTTATTCATTTACTTGCTTATTGTTTAAATACCCCACTAGAATATAAACTCCAAGAGATGAGGGACTATTTAGTCTTGTTTGTCATGAAATATACAACATTATAACAGTAGCTGGCACACCTGGTTTTTGGGGGAAAGAAGTTACAGGAGGTACATTTTGGTTCAGTACCATAATAATAGCAACTGCATATATTGAGCACAAATCAGCCTTGCCATTCATTATTTCATGTAATCCTCATAACGACCCTGCAAGATAATGCTATTATTCCCATTTCGAAAATGAGGAAACCACAGCTTAGAGAGGCAAAGGGATTTGTTTGTTCAAGGTCACACTGCTTTAATTAGTTTGACTGACATTCAAACCCAGGTCTGTGTCCGAAGCCTCTGCCCTTACGCACTAGTCTACACTACAATGCCATACCCGGATTTTGGAAAAGTTTACAACAATTCTGTTTGTTAATGAAACACCTTTAAGTGAGTTACTGCAGGTAAACAGGCATACCTTTGAGGACTACCAGAGGCACTGCAGGGAGGATTCCTGTATCATGTGGGAAGCTAACTCTAGTTGTCAATAAGGACACATTTTTCTATTCATCTATTCATCCATCCATGCATCCATCCACCCACCCACCCACCCACCTATCCACCCAGTCATCTATGCATCCAGCCAAATCTGACCAGTCATCCAGCAATCCATTCAACTAGCAAAGCATTTAACAGCTTATCATCCCAAAACACCAAACCATCCATCCATCCATCCATCCATCCACCTATCACCTTTAAAACCAACCATCCATCCATCCATCCATCCATCCATCCATCCATCCATCCACTCACCCATTCTCCTCAAAGCAAATCATCTGTGAATCCACTCTTCAACCACGTAACTATTAAGTCATCAATCCATGTGACATTAACTTCTCCTATACCACATGCCAAGTTCTGTGCTAGATAACTAGAAAAATAAAGTTTGTGGGGGGAAATCCTTGCCTTTGAGGAGCTTTCAGCCAACTGGGGAAAACAGAAGACAGTGCTCAACTGTTTTATGATAGGAGTGTGTTCACGCTGCTCTTGGAGGGTGGGGAAGAAGTGAATAGTCCGTCTATAGGGACAGAAGGACCTCAGAGAGTTTAGCCTAAAGCTTCCGAGCCCATTTCTTCAAGCTCTCCTGATGAGTCCTATGTCTTTGGTTGTTCAATCAATAGCTGTGATCCTGGGATAATTATCCTCTTGGCTCTGGTTGAAGACAGACTGGGCAGCAATCAGAGGGTTGTCCTAACCACCCTCTAATCTTCTCTCTGAACTAATCACAATATATGGGGCTTTCCTGGGATCATACAAATATGGGGGTTTCTGCCTAGAGGGATCGTGTCCCTTTAAACACTCATAAAGCTGTCTCTCCATCCATCCCTCCAATAAACCCACTAACCACGAAGTATCCTGAAAACCTCCCACACTTGCCAGCCCTGGACAAAGCCTGAAGCAGGGAGATGGGACTTGCATGTTGATGATGAGAAAATCCTTTTGTAACATCTCTTTAGGGTTTTAAACGCAGGGGAGATTCGTAGATGGACAGGCACAGGAAGGATGCTGCCCTTCTGCAGAAGGGGGAGCACTGGGGAGTCAAACACTCCGGCGCTCCTCCACTTAAATACACAGTCACCCGCGGTCAGGCAGCTGGCCTGGGGGCAGCAGAGGGAAGAGGGGACGAAAGCCCAGAGTTCTGCTGGAGGAGAGCCATTTCGGGGGTTGGGGTAGGTGGGAAGGACCAAAAGTATCCAAAGAAAGGAGACACACAGAGAGAGTGAGATGGGGATGGGGATGAGAGGCAGAGAGACAGAGACAGAGCAACAGAGAGAAAAGGAGAAAGAGAGAGAGACCCAGAGACAGAGGCAAAAGACAGATCGATAGAGAGAAAAAGATAGATGATGGATGGATGGATGGATGGATGGATGGATGGATGGATGGACAGGTAGGTAGTAGCTAGCTAGCTTAGATAAACAGACAGACACAGACAGAAAGACAGATGTCAGAAAAGGAGCAGGGATATAGAAAGGCCACACACACATCGAGAGCAGACCAGAGAGACTTGTGGACAGAAAGACCTCCCCCTTACTCCCACACATGGAGAGAAACATATAGAGACCTAAACAGAAACACCGAGAAAGAGACACCCAGGGGTATAAATAGAGACAAACACATATAATCAGACACACACATACAGACAGGGAGAGGCAGAGGGGAGAGGGCAGCCACTTTGGGAAAGCTGGGTCCATTCAACCTCCAAACAGTGCCGTTATCCTCCAAAGCAGAGGCGCACCAGAGTCCCGGCATCTCAGAATGGAAACAGAGCCTCCAGGATAAGCTCGGCCTGTCCTCCCCGCCTACCTCCCTTTCCACGCTGCCCTTTGAAGAGCCAGGGATGGAGGAAGGAGTCGGGACTCAGAGAAGCGCAGCAGCTCACCCAGGGACCCACCAAAAGAGGTGGGACATTCTCGGGTGGCTCTCGATACTGGCACATAGGACCGTGACACTGTGAACTGAATACACGAGAGTGAAGGAGTGAGTTTTCTGCCCCATGCTGTAGCAGTGCGTGGGTGGGGTGCCATTTAAGGGGCTGAGGTTCACACACGTTTCCCTTCGCCAGCCGCCAATAACCAGCTTCCTATTTTTGCTCCGCGTCCCAGGCTCTGTAGTGACCTTTCCGGCAAGCTGCTTGACATCGGGGAGCTGGAGATGACAATAAACCACACCGCAGCCAAGGGCAGACATGCCCCGTGGCGTGGGCCTCCTCCGCACCCTGGCCACCATTTCCGGGGCTGTGGCCCTGAAAAGCACGCGGCCTCCTACACTGGGAAGGGCGTCTTCA